ATTACAAGTTTTAAAAGCCCTATTCGAGGGGTTCAGTTGTATGGGGGCTAGGTGAAATAATGGACCGATGTAAACCATTTTCAACAGGCTTCATCTACGGTACCATAAAAGATCATGTGCCAAATTTCATTGAATTATCTGAAAATTTGCGACCTGTAGTTTGATTACAAGGATTACAAGCCCTATTGGGGGGTTCAGTTGTATGGGGGCTAGGTGAAATAATGGACCGATCTTAACCATTTTCAATAGGCTTCGTCCCTGGGACAATAGAAGATCATGTACCAAATTTCATTGAATTATCTTCAAAATTGCGACCTGTAGTTTGATTACAAGGTTTACATGGACGGACGGACGGACGGACGGACATAGCTAAATCGACTCAGAAAATGATTCTGAGCCGATTGGTATACTTTAAGGTGGGTATAGGACCAATATTATTGTGCGTTGCAAACATCAGCACAAACCCAATATACCCTCCCCACTAAAGTGGTGTAGGGTATAAAAAAGTACCAAAAGTGGAAAGTACTACTACTAAAAAGAGTACAATTTTTTCCCCTTTCTTGTATCACTAATATTGTGTAAGATAATTAAGAAAACCTGTTTTACCCGTTTTTTCCCCTTTTTACCCGCAAATGTACAAATTTCCAAAAATCCCTCCTTAGTGGATCTACATAACCTAAAAAAACACCTCTACTGTCAAAATTTCATGATTCTAGGTTTTAGACGTTTGGGCTGTACGATGATGAATCAGTCAGTTATGACATAAAACTACGTTAATCGGAGTTTAGCTAAACTTGGTTTAAGTAAGTTTTAGCATAAAAACTGATATTTTCCAAAAGTTCGTTTAATTATTAATAACATTTAAACAATTTTTGTTAACTAAAGTTTAGCTAAACGTAGTTAAACTTAGGTTAAAGTTAAAAAAAGTAAGTTTAGTTATTAAAGGAAAATGCTAAAGAAATTCGTTCTATTTTTAAGTAGTTATATGGGTTTAAGTACTTATTCTTCTGTTATCTAAAGTTTTGTTAAACTACTTTCCTTTCTTTAATAGTTGTGCTGCCATCGATAGACAGACCTCATTGTTTTATTCTTTTTTTTCACCTAAGTAGTTCAAGGTTATTTAAAGTGCATATGATACCACCAAATAATAGAATAATAAATATCATCTACAAACAAAAACAACTTCCTCAAATAGAAACAAGTAAGAAATTATAGTCGGGCGAGGTCGACCATGTCCATACCCTAAACCTGTTACAAAATTAAAATGCGATTTAGTTTTCATAATAAAGCATTTAAGTTGAATTGTACCTTGCCTCAGATATACTTAAGCCATTTATTGTTGAATTCTGAAATTGTGGACATTTAAGTCAAATTTTGAAGAGGGCTTTGAATAGGGGCTATGGTCAAATGAGATTATATAATTATATAAATAATGAGGGTCATCAAGGCTAGTATAGAACTTGATTTTGCAGCTTTTTGTCGAGATACGAGTATAATTATGAACTTAAAAGCCCTATTCGTCCGGTTCAGTTGTATGGGGGCTAGGTGAGATAATGGACCGATGATAACCATTTTCAATAGGCTTCGTTTCCGGTACCATAGAAGATCATGTGCCAAATTTCATAGAATTATCTTCAAAATTACGACCTGTAGTTTGATTACAAAGTTTACTAGCCCTATTCTGGGGTTCAGTTGTATGGAGGCTAAGTGAGATAATGGACCGATGTTAACCATTTTCAATAGGCTTCGTCCCTGGGACAATAGAAGGTCCAATTTTCATTGAATTATCTTCAAAATTGCGACCTGTAGTTTGATTACAAGGTTTACATGGACGGACAGACGGACGGAGAGACGGACAGACAGACAGACAGACAGACGGACGGACGGACTGACGGACATAGCTAAAACGACTCAGACAATGATTCTAAGCCGATTGGTATACTTTAAAGTGGGTATAGGACCAATATTATTGTGCGTTACAAACATCAGCACAAACCCAATATACCCTCCCCACTAAAGTGGTGTAGGGTATAAAAACTACAACTACATTTCAAACTTAAGGTCAATAGAACCCTCCTTTTTTAATAGAAACGTAATTTTTACGTAGACACAACAGCCAGCTAACAGCATATGTTAGAAAAACTATAATAAACATAAGTTAAACTAGACTACGTTTTTTTTTTTTTCATTTCATAAATATAATGGTAGAGGCAGTTTTCACTGAAATTGTGGTTGCGGTTGTCTATTTACTGGCCACCTTATATTAGACCTATTAAAGGTGTTCTTTAAAGGGGTTCTTCATTTTTTGTTTTCTTCAAAGAGTCGTGTGTGTGTGTGGGCGAGTATGCCTGCAGTTTTCTATTTAAATAAGTTGCGTCGTTGGCGTCAACCTATTGCAACTGAAAATATGTTAAACTTAACACAATGACTATTTTGTTAGAGAAACACTGTGCAGGAAAAATGTTTAAAGGCATGTCAATTGTTTTGAATATTTCAAGCATTTTCTTTTCATCAGGTAGTCAAAGAAAATTTGCCAATTATTTTATAAATTAACAAACTAAATTGTAGTTGCAAATATGGTGAGGGTGTCTAGGAAAAGGGAGCTGTGAACATTTTTTTTGCTAAGAATTGCATTTTCTAAACATTTTAAGACTTTAAAATGAGTATAAACAAATTTTGTTAACCAAAGTTAAATTAAGTTTAAATGTTCAAAAAGTAAAGTTTAACCTGAAATAATATTATACGTTAAAATTTGAAGTTAAAATAAATAAGAAACCGTAAAAAAACTAAGTTAACTGGAGTTTAGCTAAACTTGGTTTAGACGAGTTTAAGTCATAAAAGTTATGGATTCGAAAAATTAGTTCTACACTGAATCTAATTCAATCGATATATCTTAACTGAAGTTTATAAAAGCCCAGTTAAATGAAGTTTAAAGAACGAAAATGCACTTTTCAAGTGAAATGTTGTTATCGCTTGGATTCTTGCATTAAAATTAAGCATAAACTGTAGAAAAACTTCTTTAACTGGAGTTTAGCTAAACTTGGTTTAGACGAGTTTAAGTTGAAAAAGTTGTGAATTTGAAAAGTTTGTTAGATACTGAATCTAATTCAATCGATATTTCTAAACTGAAGTTTATAAAAGCCCAGTTAAATGAAGTTTAAGGAACAAAAATGTACTTTTCAAGCAAAATGTTGTTATGGCTTGAATTCTTGCATTAAAATTAAATATAAACTGTAGAAAAAGTTCCATAACTGGAGCTTAGCTAAACTTGGTTTAGACGAGTTTAAGTGAAAAAAGTTGTGGATTTGAAAAGTTTGTTAGATAGTGAATCTAATTCAATCGATATTTCTAAACTGAAGTTTATAAAAGTCCAGTTAAATGAAGTTTAAAGAACGAAAATGATATTTTTAAACAAAATATTGTTAGGACTATGATTCTTAAACTAAAATAATGCTGATACTATGAAAAAACTATGTTAACTGGAGTTTAGTTAAACTTAATTTTGATCAGTTTAAGTGAAAAAATTGATAGATTTGAAATCTTTGAATAATTCTAAATATGACACAAATATTGTTTGTGAGGTGAAGTTTATCTAAACGTGTTTAAACTAAGTTTAAAAATCCAAAAAGCTTATCTTCTATATATCTATCTTCTATCTATCTTCTATATATATAAAAATGAATTTGTGTTTGTTTGTATGTTTGAACGTTATAGACTACTAAGCGGCTGAACGGATTTTCTTTCACAGCGTATTCGTGCATGTCTGGAATAGATAATGGGCTACTTTTTATTTAGAAATTCCAAGTGGGCGGGGTGCCACGCCCATATTAAGAAAATATGAAATGCGTATATTTCAGATAATATAACAGTTAGAGTCCTCAAAATGTTGTCGTAGCCACTTTAGTGTCAATATGATTATTTAGGACAAAAAGTAGGCGGACTAGCATTAGGGGGCGTGGCACTTCCCATATATATCAAATACAAAAATTTGTTTTTCTTGGAAACTATTACAGTTAGAATCTTAAAATTTTACACGAATAATATTAACATCCATTTAAACATTTTTGGTAATATATTGGCGGACTAACCATGAGGAGAGCGGTTCCTCCCATATTAATTAAATATAAAAATTCGTTTATCTGGGAAACTAAAGGAACTAAATTCTTCAAATTTTGCTCGAAGAACTTAAATATGCATCTGAACATTTTGGAGGAAATGTTGGAGGGTGGGGGGGTGGGTTTGTAGCCCCCAAATGAATTAAATAGAAAAATTCGTATATCTGAGAAAATATTACAGCTAGAATCTTCAAATTTTACTTGAAGATATTTGACATTCATCTGAACATTTAGAGTATAACGGACGGACTTTCAATGGGGACCTTTGCACCTCCCATATTAAAATTTCGTTTATCTGGGAAACTAATAGAAATTGATTCTTAAAATTTTGCTCAAATTATTTTAATATTCATCTGAACATTCTGGGGATAAAGTGCGGGCTTTCATCTGGGGAGCTTGAAGCTCCCGGCGGACTTTCAATATATTAACTTAGTTAAACTAAGTTTAAAAGACAAAAAAAACAAAATTTTACAAAAATAACATTATATTTGATAGTTTTAAAGGAAAACAAATTAGAATTTGTGAAAAAACTTACTTAACTGGAGTTTAGTTAAACTGGGTTATATCGAGTTTAAGCAAAAATAGTGATGATATTTAAAACATCTAAAAATTCTTAATATAAAACTAATAAGTTTTCTTAACTAAAGTTTATGTTAGCTTAAAAAAAAGCTTTTTTTAAGAGAAATGCTAATGATAGCGACTGTTACTAATTAATTAATAATTATTATATTTATTTACAACACTCCCCCCTTCCTTTAATTTAATATTACACACTGTCTATTTGTTTATACCTATTGTCTATATAGTATAAACACTTGTTAACCTTAAGTCTAATGACCACAAATCCGTTGAAAAATGTTGGAAAGAAATATATAAAGGTGTATTTTGAAAAAAAAAACTATTTAACGAAAAACAGTTTAATGTTAAATATTGAACGCGTTGGTTGTGTTTTTTAAACCGTTTACGTTTTAAAAAAAGGAAAAATAAAAGAACAAATAAAAATTTTTTCAATAAATTAAAATCAATAGAGCAGAAGATAGAAAATATTGTGATTAAAATTGTGTATGATTTCAAGAAAAAAACGTCTATACATGGGTTGGTGGTGAAAGAAAACTAAAGAAAAACTCCTTAATTGTGCTATTAACTTCATCATTAATACAAAAAAAAAAAAAAAAAACATATAAATTACTAATATTTAACTAATCAACAAAAAAAAAAAATTAACAAAAATTAACACCATTTGTCAATTTATTAAAAAAAGTTTTCTTAAAAAAATTTAAATAATTTTCTTCAGAAGAATTTCTCTAATTTTCTAATAAAAAAACTTTAACAAATTTTCAAAATAAATTTTTCTTTGACAGATTTTTTTTTCAAAAAAAAGGGCGTTTCTGTTTACATTTTTGTACGAATTCTTATAAATAGCTTTAATTTGTTTTATCAAAATATTTAAAAATAAATCTATTTAAATTCGATAAAACAATTGGCAAGTGATTTACTATATACGAAACACGCCAAACAAACGTGGGACATTTAACATTTGCTTTTAGCTAAAAGTATATATCAACACATCTTTAGCGACAATGTTTAGAGTCAATGGTCTAATGAGATAGTTCAAAAATACCGCTAGACTGGCTGATAACCCGTTTCGAACACCAAGTATTACTACAGGTCTTTAGGTAGTTAATTAAAAGCTTTAAACGTAAGCTCTTCTTCTAAAAAGTAATTATTAGTATTTTGGCAGCTTTATGAAACAAAGATCCTTTAGAAATTTGAAAACTTTCAATAGAAAAGTCTTTCCTTTCCGACAGCTTTAATCTTAGGATTTGTAAAAAATCTAGCATTTTGCTTTAATCATTGAAGCTTTAAAAATCTTTGTAGATCTTTAAAAGTTTAACACAAAGGTGTTTTAAAATCTCTACTATCAAAATTAGTTCCTTAAAAGCTTTAGACACAGCTCTCTCTAAAAAGAAAATTTTTCTATAAGAAAACTTTCTAAAGAAACATTTCTAGAAGAAAACTTTCTCAAGGAAGTTGCTTGGAAGAAAACTTTTCTTAAAGAAAACTTTTTAAAAAGGCTTTTTCATAACAAAGCTTTTTATAAGAAACTTTTCTAAAAGAAAACTGTCCAAAGGAACTTTTTTATAAGAAAACTTTCTAAAGAAACTTTTCTATAACAAAACTTTCTTTCTCAAGAAACTTTATTAGAAACAATAAAGATGCTTTTCTATGACAAAGCTTTTTTAAGAAACTTTTTTATAAGTAAACTTTATAAAAGAAACTTTTTTAAAAGAAAATTTTTTAAAGGAACCTTTTCGTAAAGAAAACTTTATAGAAGAAACTTTTCTAGAAGAAAAATTTCTAAAGAAACTTTTCTAGAAGAAAACTTTTTAAACTTTTGAAAGGAACTTTTCTAGATGAAAACTTTTTTAAGAAATTTTCTGGAAGAAAACTTTCTAAAGCTACTTTTCTAAAAGAAAACTTTTCGAGAAGAAAACTTTCTTAAGAAACTTTTCTGGAAGAAAAGGAACTTTTGTAGAAGAAAACTTTTTGAAGAAACTTTTGTAGAAGAAAACTTTGTAAAGGAACTTTTCTAGAAGAAAGTTTTCTAGAAGAAAACTTTTTAAAGACACTTTTCTAGAAAAAAACTTTCTAAGAAAACTTTTTCAGTAATCTTTCTTAGAAAAAAAACTTTCTGAAGCTACGTTTCTATAAGAAAACTTTCTAATGAAACATTTATAGAAGAAAACTTTGTAAAGAAACTTGTTCAGAAGAAAACTTTCTCAAGAAACTTTTTTAGAAGATAATTTTCTAAAGCAACTCTTCTAGAAGAATATTTTCTTAAGAAACTTTTGTATAACAAAACTTTCTAAAGAAATTTTTATATATGAAATCTTTCTAAAGAAACTTTTCTAGAAAAAAACTTTTTAAGGAATTTTTTTAAGAAGAAAAACTTCCAATAAAACTTTTCTAGAAGAAAACTTCCAAAAGAAACTTTTCTAGAAGAAAACTTTTTCAGGAATCTTTCTTAGAAGAAAACTTTCTGAAGAAACTTATGTATAACAAAACTTTCTGAAGAAACTTTTATAGAAGAAAACTTTCTAAAGAAACTTACTTAGAAGAAAACTTTCTGAAGTAACTTTCTAGAAGATAGTTTTCTAAAGCAACTTTTCTAGAAGAAAACTTTCAAAAGGAACTTTTCTAGAAAAAAACTTTTTAAAGAGACTTTTCGATAAGAAAACTTTTTAAAGAAACTTTTCGTTAAGAAAAAACTTTTTAAAGAAACTTTTCTATATGAAATCATTTTAAAGAAACTTCTCTTTCTAACGAAATTTTTCTGTAGGAAAACTTTTTAAAGAAGCTTTTAAAAAATGTTGTTCCAATTCTATATCTGTCGATAGTTTGTTAAAAGTTTCAATGTTAGATGTTTTGCAAGTCTTTCAAAAGCTTCTATTGTAGGTCTTTATGTAGTGGTTTGTAAGCTTTAAACTAAGGTCTAGATCAGTACTTTTTAAAGCTTATTTTTGTAGATCGCTGAAAGTTCCAGTTTTGATATTTTTGTAGTATTTAAAAAGCTTCAATCTAGATCTTTTTAAAGTGCTTTGAAATGTGTAAGCGTACAACATTCTTTAGATAAAAGTTGAAGTATTTTTGAAGTTTTTTAAAAGCTTAAGACTTTATACGGAAATCTTCATATGACTATCAATAAATGCAGATCTTTTTGTTGTCTGGTGAAAGCTCTAACTTAGTTTTTTTAAATATCATTTGATAGTGAAATAAAAGCTTTAAGCATGGGTCTGGTGGTAGTGGTGTTTTAAAAGCTTTAATCGAAGGCTAAATGAAAGGTTTAATCTTGGGTGTAGTAATGTTTTTAAAGCTTCATCATTTGATAATGAAATAAAAGCTTTAAGCATGGGTCTTGGTGGAAAAAAAAGCTTTAAGCTTGGGTGTAGTAATGTTTTTAAAGCTTCATCATTTGATAGTTAAATAAAAGCTTTTGGCATGGATCTTGGTGGTAGTGGTGTTTTAAAAGCTTTAATCGAAAGCGAAATAAAAGCTTTAAGCTTGGGTGTAGTAATATTTTTAAAGCTTTAAACGAAATTAATAACCCTGTTTAACAAAAAGCTTTAATCATAAGTCTTTTGTAAATGATTTTTACTAAGCTTTAATATAAGATTTTCTGGCATCTATTTGGCAGCTTCTGTAGGTTTGCCAAAGACATTTTCTTAAAGTTTCAATTGAAGCTTGTTTCTTTACTTGTTTTCTAGCAATTTACTTAAATTTAAGAAACTTTTTTAAATTTAATAAATTTCTTTTAAAATAAAATTCTCAAGAAAAAACTTTCTACAAAGTTTGTAACAAATGTAAAATAAATTGAAAAAATTATAAAATCCAAATGATAAATTTGTGACTGAAACTAAACTAAACATTCCTAAGAGATTTCTTAACTCCATAAAAAAAAAACAAGAAAAGCTAATAAATTATTTACACAGAAACTTGAAAAAAAGCTGCTGCTTAGCAACTGACACGTCTCACAAGTAAAACGTGACAAATCTTATTTGGTCAAGGGGGTAAATCCAAGAAAAAGGACTTTCTAAACAAAATTATAAAAAAAAAATTATTACCACATTTGTTGTAAAATCCTTGTTTTTGGTAATACACTGCGTGTTAGTAATTTTCCTGAATGGAGACGAAAACTCAACCAACTTTATTGGATAAATTGAAAAACAATTTCAAAATGATGGGTTGTTTACAGCCAAAAGAAGAGAAATCTTTAGATCCAATACAAAGTATGTATAAAATCTAAAAAGAGCTTTAAGTTATATGAGGGATTATAGCATTTGAAAAAAGCTTTTTTACGTTATATTTAAGTTTCACATTTGTTTGTGTTTTAAAACGGATTTTCTTTGTTTTATTTTAAAATTTATAGTTATTTATATTTTTTTGCTTATTTTGTTGCTATTTAAATAAATTTTTATTTGTTTTACCTTGAGTTTTTATTGGTGTAAAATATTTTACATTTTACCTCAAACAAAAATAATAAATATTTTTTTATACTTTACAAATGTCATTTTTTATAATAATTGTTGCAGTATAAAATTAATCTATAAAATTGCTAGTTAAATTATATGACAACAAAGTATTAATATTAAATGATCCCCCAAATGTCAAAGGAAGTTTTTGTATGAATGGTCAACGAAAAAAGAAGAAGAAAAAATACAATTTTTTTGTTTAATTCAAACTTATGTTAATAAAAAATTCATGAATGTAATAAAATTTTATGACACAAAATGACAAAGAATATGAACAAAAATTGTACATACAGATAGATTGCAAATAATAAATGTCAACCAAATATAAATTATAAAAGAAAAATTTTGGAATTTTTCAACAACAACAAAAGTTTGTTTAAACATTTAAGAGAACATTTTTTAGTTGAAAATTTCTATAAAAAAATTTTTTTCCCAAAAAAGTCAACAAACTTTATTCTTTTTTTCTGATTGACAAACATTTTTTCTTACTAAATAATATATTTTTTGAGTAGATTTATAATTAAGCTTTTATATACTATTTTTCTACATAAAAATTTAACAGACGTCTAAATGACCTATTAAAGCATGACAAATTTATAAATTATATTAATTTTGTTTAAATATAGCACAAAATTTTAAAGTGTATGAACTCTTAAGCCAAATGAATTGTATAAAAATTTCTATAATAAGAAAATTTCTAGGTGAAAGCTTTGTCAAGAAACTTCCTCAACTTTTCTATAAGAAAACTTTCTAAAGGTACTTTTCTAGACGAAACCCTATTTAAGAAACTTTACTGGAAGAAAACTTTCTCAAAAAACTTTGCTAGAGAGAAAACTCTCTCTAGAAAGAAACCCTTCTCAAGAAACTTTTCTAGACGAAATCCTTTTTCAAGAAACTTCTCTAGAATACAACTTTCTCAAGAAACTTTGCTAGATGAAAACTTTCTCAAGAATTTTTTTGAAAGAAAATTTTCTTAAGAAACTTTTCTAGAAGAGAGAAATATCTCTCAAGAAACTTTTGTGAAAAGAACTTGCTCAGGAAACTTTTCTAAAAGAAAACTTTTTCCAGAACCTATTTATTTTCAGGAAGAAAACTTTCTCAAGAAATTTTTCTGAAAGAAAGCTTTCTCAAGAAACTTTTCTGGAAGAAAACTTTCTTAAAAAACTCCTCTAGAAGAAAACTTCTCCAAGAAACTTTTCTAGAAGAAATCTTTCTAAAGAAACTTTTATAAAAGAAACCCTTCTCAAGAAACTTTTATAAAAGAAACCCTTCTCAAGATACTTTAGTAGTAGAAGCAAACTTTCTCAAATATAAGAAAAATTTCTCAAGATACTTTTCTGGAAAAAAACTTTCTCAATAACCTTTTCGAGAAGTGAACTTTTTCAAGAAAGTTCTTTAGAAGAAAATTTTATAAATAAACTTTTCTAGATGAAAACTTGCTCAATAAATTTTCTAGAAGAAAAGTTTCTCAAAAACTTTTCTAGAAGAAAACCTTCTCAAAAAATTTTTCTATAAAAAACTTTTTCAAGCAACTCTTCTGAAAGAAAACTTTCTCAAAAAGCTTATCTAGAACAAAACGTTTTAAGAACTTTTCTTAAAAAAAGCTTTCTAAACAAAGCTTGTAAACGTGGTTTTTCTAAAAAAAACATTTCGAAGAAATTTTTCTGTAAAATTAAACTTTGAGCAAGCTTTCTAAAGAAAAGCTTTTTTCTACAAGCTTTTTCCTGGAAGTTAGTTAGTTAGTTAGTTAGTTAGTTAGTTAGTTAGTTAGTTAGTTAGTTAGTTAGTTAGTTAGTTAGTTAGTTAGTTAGTTAGTTAGTTAGTAGTTAGTTAGTTAGTTAGTTAGTTTAGTTAGTTAGTTAGTTAGTTAGTTAGTTAGTTAGTTAGTTAGTTAGTTAGTTAGTTAGTTAGTTAGTTAGTTAGTTAGTTAGTTAGTTAGTTAGTTAGTTTTTAGTTAGTTAGTTAGTTAGTTGTTGTTTTCGTTAGTTAGTTAGTTAGTCGTTAGTTCGTTCTTTTTTCGTTCTTGTTCGTTTCGTTCGTTCGTTCGTTCGTTCGTTCTTCGTTCGTTCGTTGTTCGTTCGTTCGTTCGTTCGTTCGTTTTCGTTTCGTTCGTTCGTTAGTTCGTTCGTTCGTTCGTTCGTTCGTTCGTTCGTTTCGTTCGTTCGTTCGTTTTCGTTCGTTCGTTCGTTCGTTGTTTTCGTTCGTTCGTTCGTTCGTTTTCGTTCGTTCGTTCGTTCGTTCGTTCGTTCGTTCGTTCGTTCGTTCGTTCGTTTCGTTCGTTCGTTCGTTCGTTCGTTCGTTTCGTTCGTTCGTTCGTTCGTTCGTTCGTTCGTTCTTTCGTTCGTTCGTCGTTCGTTCGTTCGTTCTTTTCGTTCGTTTCGTTCGTTCGTTCGTTCGTTCGTTCGTTCGTTCGTTCGTTCGTTTCGTTCGTTCGTTCTTTCGTTCGTTCGTTCGTCGTTCGTTCGTTCGTTCGTTCGTTCGTTCGTTCGTTCGTTCGTTCTTTCGTTGTTGTTGTTCGTTCGTTCGTTCTTGTTTCGTTCGTTCGTTCGTTCGTTTCGTTCGTTCGTTCGTTCTTTCGTTCGTCGTTCGTTCGTTCGTTCGTTCGTTTTCGTTCGTTCGTTCGTTCGTTCGTTCGTTCGTTCGTTCGTTCGTTCGTTCGTTCGTTCGTTCGTTTCGTTCGTTCGTTCGTTTCGTTTCGTTCGTTCGTCGTTCGTTCGTTCGTTCGTTCGTTTCTTTCGTTCGTTTTCGTTCGTTCGTTCGTTCGTTCTTTCGTTCGTTCGTTCTTGTTCGTTCGTTCGTTTCGTTCGTTCGTTCGTTCGTTCGTTTCGTTCGTTCGTTCGTTCGTTCGTTCGTTTCGTTCGTTTCGTTTCGTTCGTTCTTCGTTCGTTCGTTCGTTCGTTCGTTCGTTCGTTCGTTCGTTCGTTCGTTCGTTCGTTCGTTCGTTCTTTCGTTCGTTCGTTCGTTCGTTCGTTCGTTCGTTCGTTTCGTTCGTTCGTTGTTCGTTCGTTCGTTCGTTCGTTCGTTCGTTCTTTTCGTTCGTTCGTTTCGTTTCGTTCGTTCGTTCGTTCGTTCGTTTCGTTCGTTTCGTTCTTTCGTTCGTTCGTTTCGTTCGTTCTTCGTTCGTTTCGTTCGTTCGTTCGTTCGTTCGTTACGTTCGGTTCGTTCGTTCGTTAGTTAGTTCGTTCGTTGTTCGTTCGTTAGTTCGTGTTAGTTAGTTACTTAGTTAGTTAGTTAGTTAGTTAGTTAGTTAGTTAGTTATGTCTTTTAAAACTAACATTCTGCACTTTTAAAAGTTCATATTCCACTATTCTACGCAATTCTGAAAGCTTCGTGTGCAGTTCTTGCAGCTGTCACTTAAAAGCTTCAGCCGTAACTTTGTTCATAACTTCTATTGCAGGCTTTTCCTGTCGTTTTGCAGACATTTTGAACTTCGATATTTGCAAAGTAGTTTACAAGCTTTCATCTGCAGCTTCTGGTAAGCTTTGATTGAGCTTTAATCATTAGCTAGCCAGTAAACGTTTGAACCCTTACATTATATTTCGATCTGTTCTATACTTCGATCATCTAATAACATAAAGCGTAGTTCTTAATGCACCTATGAAAAGTAAATTTGATCCCACATTAGCCAGACAACTTTTCATTTTGTTTATTCTCATTTATATAAACAACATTTAATAAAGCTTCACTTAGCCTTCCAAAATACTTTTGAACCTTAAAAGAAATATCAACAAAATCTTTTTAACTTTAAAACTCATTTCCTTTTAATCTCTTAAGTAAAAAAAAAGAGGCCGTAGCAGTCAAAAGAAATCAATTTCCTTTGGCTAATACTCTTATAAAAAAGGTTGCAAAATTTTCTAATTTCTTTTTATTTTATATTATTAATATTTTTTCCTAAACCCCAATAAACAATTAAGTGTAATGGTAACTTTTTAATTTGTTTAATGCATTTTTTATGTTAAATTTACATAAAAATTATGAAAATGTTTAAAAAGTTTTTTGGTCATTAATTTAAATTAAACCTTTTTTCTAATGTTGTTTTTTTGGGATTTTTTCTCTTTCTTCTTTTAGCTATGAAGGCGGCTTTACTTATACAACGTTGGTATAGACGTCATAATGCGCGCATGGAAATCAGACGACGCTACACCTGGTCCATATTTACGAATTTAGAATATGCCGGTGAACAAGATCAAAGTGGAGGTGAGTTAGTAGTGTGTTAGAAAAGGGTTTTATTGAATATTTAGAAAAATTGTGTATAAACATTTGCTTTTACTATATGTATTAGTTTCAAGACGCACTTTTAAAGCTTCAATAGTCAATATTGGTAAACTGAGCTGTTGAGGGTTTTAGGAAAATATAAATAAGTGTAATTGTTTATTTAGAATTTTGGTTTTGGTAATATTAACCCTTGAGTATAGTTCTTTTAATATTTTTAGAGACAAAATCCAGTTTTTCTTTCAAAATTTAGAAAATTTTAAAAAAAATGGAAATAATTTTTTTAAAATTTGAAAGGTTTTTTAGATAAGCTTTAAAAATAAACAAAACGTGGCAATTTTTTAATATAAATATTTGTTAAATTTCATATTTAGAAAAAAAATTTTGAAAAAAAAAAATGGATTTTTTTTTTAAAATCTTCAAAATTTCACAAAATTTAAAAAACCTTAAATTTTTTTTTTTAATTTTAAACACCAAGACTTAAGCTATCAATAACAGAAAAGATTTTTAAAATTCGTTAATATAATTATTTAAAAATAATTAAACAAACTTTGCTGGTATTAAATCAAAGACAATTTTAGACAAAATTTTAAATGTATAAAAAATTTGGAAAATTTTCAAAAAACGTAAAACTTTTTACACTATTTGAAAGATCTTAAAATAGCTTTCAGAATAATATAAAATATTTAAATTTTCTGAATATAATTTTTACTTACAAGCAAGCAAAGTTTGAACATTTTTGAAAAAAAAAAAAATTCAAAAGTTTTCAATAATCTATAAAATTTTTAATCAAATTTGCAGCAAAACAAAATCTCTTGACTGTTCTACAAATTGCCCCCAAAAAACATGTAATTTTTTTGTTTGATTGTAAATAATAAAACATTTGTAAAAAAAATTATTATAACCATTCCCTACTTTTACTAATTTTGCCCCAAAAAAAAAAATGAAACAAATAAGTGGAAAATTTCATGAAATGTCAAAAAATAACAACACGAAAGCAAAAGAAATCACAAAAAAACACATTTTTTGCTAAAACTTGCGTGTATTTCTGAATTTCGTACAATTTCTTTCAGTTTTTTTCTTCAACACAAATGACCTTTCTAAAAAAAATGTTTTAAAAAACAATTTGCAGCAAATAAATTGTAAGAATCATAACAAAAGTGATACCAAAAATATATACACAAGACGAGCCACGAGCCGTCATGTTGTAACATACATATTTTGCCAACATTTATAAAATTTCAGCAAAAATTTTATTCCCCCCTCCCCCAAAAAAAAAGGTTTGTCTGCAGTTTTTTTTTTCTTATAAATTTTTAAACTCCTTAAATATTACATTCTTATTTATGGCTTGTTATTAAAGAAAAGGGCTCATTTATAAAAGAAAATTAGAGGTAATTTTTGCTGTCTTGACAAAAAATTACCCACTTTAAAAGGAATTTATTTAGATTGTAAGACATTTTTGGTAATGAACTGTTATAAATGGAAATCTGTTCGATTATATGGAATGTTTAAAAGAAATGGCATATAACTTTAAAAAAAATTGCATTTTAAGGAATATTTTTTTTTATAAGAAAACTTTCTGAAAAAAACTTTTCTAGAAGAAAACTCATAAAAAAACTTTTCTATAAGAAAGCTTTCTCGAGAAACCTTTCTATAAGAAAAGCTTTCTCTAAGAAACCTTTCTATAAGAAAACTTTCTCAAGAAAATTTTTCTAGAAGAAAGCTTTCTGAAGAAACTTTTCTATAAGAAACTCTACAAAGAAACTTTTCCATAAAGAATACCTTCTAATGAAACTATTCTCTAGGATGCTATCTAAAGAAACTTTTCTATAAGAAAATCTTCTTCTCTATAAGAAAAACTTTCTTAAGAAACTTTTCTAAAATAAACCTTTCTAAAAGAAACTTTAATAAAAGAAAATTTTCTCAAAAAACTTTTCTAAAAGAATACTTTCTAAAGATATTTTTCTATAACAAACTTTCCAAATAATCTTTTCTAAAAGAAAACTTTCTAAAGAAATTTTCTAAAAAAAACGTTTCAATAAGAAAACTTTCAAAAGAAACTCTTTTATAAGAAAACTATCTAACACACTTTTCTATAAGAAACATTTCTTTAAGAAAAATAGCAAAAAGAAATTTTTCTCTAAGAAAACTTTCTAACGAAACTTTTCTATAAGAATGCTTTCTATAGAACACTTTTCTGTAAGAATACCTTCTAAAGAAACTATTCTCTAGGATTGCTATCTAAAGAAAAGTTTCTAAAATTTTCTAACAGAAAAGTTTTTCTCTGTAAGAACACTTTCTAAAGAAACTTTTCTAAATGAAACTTTTCGTAAAGGAAACTTTCGAAAAAAAAAAACTTTCTCAAGAAACTTTTCTTTAAGAAAAACTTTTTAAAAAAAACTTTCTATAAGAAAACTTTCTAAGCAAACTTTTCTATAAGAAAAATGTCTAAAGAAACATTTTTATACAAACTTTCTCAAGAAACTTTTCTTTAAGAAAAACTTTTAAAAAAAAACTTTCAAAAGAAACTTTCTAAGCTAACTTTTCTATAAGAAAAATGTCTAAAGAAAACTTTTTTATACAAACACTTTCTAAAGAAATTTTCTATAAGAAAACTTTCTAAAGGAACATTTCTATTGGAATACTTTCTAAAAAATCTTTTCTGTAAGAAAACTTTTTAACGAAACTTTTCCATAAAAAACTTTCTAAAGAAATGTTTCTATAAGAAAACTTTAAAAAGAGCTTTTTTTTATGAAAGCTTTTCTAACAGAAAACTTTCTAAAGAATATTTCCTATAAAAAAGTTCTAAAGAAACTTTTATAAGGAAAATTTCTAAAGACTTTCTCAAGAAACTTTTTATAAAAAAAAGCTTTTCTATAAGAAAACTTTTCTGAGAAAACTTTAGAAGAAAACTTTTCTATTAAAATACTTTTCCATAAGAAAACTTTTCTATAAGAAAACTTTCTTAAGAAGCTTTTCCATAAGCAAATATAGAAACTTTTTGATGATAGAATTTTCTAAGAAACTTTTCTTTAAGGAAACTTTAAGTTAGTTAGTTAGCTAGTTAGTTAGTTAGTTAGCTAGTTAGTTAGTTAGTTAGTTAGTTAGTAGTTAGTTAGGTAGTTAGTTAGTTAGTTTAGTTAGTATAGGTAGGTAGGTAGGTAGGTAGTTAGTTAGTTAGTTAGTTAGTTCGTTAGTTAGTTAGTTAGTAGTTAGTTAGTTCGTTAGTTAGTTAGTTAGTTAGTTAGTTAGTTAGTTGTTAGTTAGTTATTTGTTAGTTAGTTAGTAGTTAGTTTAGTTAGTAGTTAGTTAGTTAGTTAGTTAGTTGTTAGTTAGTTATTTTAGTTAGTTAGTTAGTTAGTTAGTTAGTTAGTTAGTTAGTTAGTTTATAGTTAGTTGTAGTTCGTTAGTTAGTGTAGTTAGTTAGTTGTTAGTTAGTTAGTTAGTTAGTTGTAGTTAGTTAGTTAGTTCGTTAGTTAGTTAGTTGTTAGTTAGTTAGTTAGTTAGTTTAGTTAGTTAGTTAGTTAGTTATAGTAGTTAGTTAGTTAGTTAGTTAGTTAGTTAGTTAGTTAGTTAGTTAGTTAGTTAGTTAGTTAGTTAGTTAGTAGTTAGTTTTAGTTAGTTAGTTAGTTAGTTAGTTTAGTAGTTAGTTAGTTAGTTTCGTTAGTTAGTTTTAGTTCGATATTCGTTCGTTCGTTCGTTCGTTCGTCGTTCGTTAGTTCGTTTCGTTCGTTCGTTCGTTCGTTCGTTCGTTCGTTCGTTTCGTTCGTTCGTCGTTCGTTCGTTCGTTCGTTCGTTCGTTCGTTCTTCGTTCGTTCGTTCGTTCGTTCGTTCGTTCGTGCGTTCGTTCGTTCGTTTCGTTCGTTTCGTTCGTTCGTTTTCGTTCGTTTCGTTCGTTCGTTCGTTCGTTCGTTCGTTCGTTCGTTCGTTCGTTCGTTCGTTCGTTCGTTCGTTCGTTCGTTCGTCGTTCGTTCGTTCGTTTCGTTAGTTCGTTCGTTCGTTCTTTCGTTCGTTCGTTTCGTTTCGTTCGTCGTTCGTGTTCGTTCGTTTCGTTCGTTCTTCCGTTCGTTCCGTTCGTTCTTCGTTCGTTCGTTTCGTTCGTTCGTTCGTTCGTTCGGTCTTCGTTAGTTCGTTTCGTTCGTTCGTTCGTTCGTTCGTTCGTTCGTTCGTTCGTTAGTTCGTTTAGTTTCGTTCGTTTCGTTCGTTCGTTCGTTCGTTCGTTCGTTCGTTATGTTCGTTCGTTCGTTTCGTTCGTTCGTTAGTTCGTTCGTTCGTTCGTTCGTTCGTTCGTTCGTTTCGTTCTTCGTTCGTTCGTTCGTTCGTTCTTCTTCGTTCTTCGTTCGTTCTTCGTTCGTTCGCTTTCGTTCGTTCGTTCGTTCGTTCGTTCGTTCGTTCTTTTTCGTTCTTCGTTCGTTCGTTCGTTCTTTCGTTCGTTCTTGTTCGTTCGTTCGTTCGTTTCTTCGGTTCGTTCGTTCGTTCGTTCGTTCGTTCTTTTCTTCGTTCGGTTCGTTCGTTCGTTCGTTCTCTTTCCCTTTGTGCTTTTTGGCCTTCCTTTCCCGTTTTTCCTTGTCTGTCTCCCTCGTCCTTTCTTCCTGCCCCCCTCCCCTTTTCCCCCTGTTTCCCTTTCCTTTCCCCTTCCGTTTCCTTCTCTCCCCCTTCCTCTTCTTCCCTCTTTTCTCCTGCCCCTTATATAAAATGTTCCTGCTAATTGGTCTGATGTCAACCACTTTTGTTTCTTTTGTCCATTTCAAATTTCTACACATTAAACTTAATACGTCACAACCCATTCATTTCATAATACGGAGTTCTTATGGGGTTTCCTTGGCATTTCAGAAAAACACGTTGTTGCTTGCAATTTGTTTGAGGTTTGTTTCTATAGTTCAGTGTTTTTCGTGGATCATTGTTTGTAAAAACTGCAAATTTGCATGCAGCTTTTATAAAATGACCTTTTTGCTAATTTGTTTTTGGAGAAAAGAAGCAGCAAACCAAATTGTTAAGTTGGTTTTAATTAATTGTTTTAAAAAAGCTTAGTTCCCAAGAGGAGGATGTTGTTTTGTCTGAATTTTAAGTTTACTCATTTCATTGTTTATTTAAAAATACAATAAATTTATGTTTCTTTTTGTTATTTTCTTTACAGCTTTAACAATTTCTTTAAACGCTTTATTAACACACATTCCAAATGCTGCTGCCCAAAGAGGTGGCTCTCTAGCTTCCTCACAAGCAATCTTCGATAGGTAAGTTTTCCTTTCAAATTTCATTAAAAGGGTATTTTAAGGACCTTTTAAAGATACATTTTAAAGTACTTTTAAAAGTTCTTTAAGGTCTTTTGCTAGTTCCATTATGAAATTTCATTATTTTCCAGATCAATTTGATTCCAATATTCCGATGAATCCGATTATCATGAGGAATATGATAGTGTTTCGGGTGCCAGATATAAAAGGGCCACAAATTAAATTTCCATTAACTAAAAAAGATATTGATACTCTAATAGATTTGTTTCGTAAGAAAAGGGTAAGTTTTTAAAGACACTTGCAAAAATTTGTACCATATAACCAAAATACATATTACCCAAATATTTTTTATTCCACTTCCAGTCAAATCGTCTTCATGCTCGCTATGTGGGCGCTATTTTAAAAGAAGCTGCTATAAAGCTACGCACTTTGCCAAATTTAAATACGGCCTCTACCGCCATTTCCAAACAGATAACCATCTGTGGTGATTTGCATGGCAAATTGGGATGATCTGTTGGTGGTGTTTTATAAGGTGAGTTTTGGAATTTTTTTAAAAGAAAAACTTTTTAAAAAGAAAGCTCTATGGAAAAAATATATATATAGAAAAATTTTCTAGATGAAAACTTTTTAATATCGAACTTTTCTATATGAAAATTTCTAAAGAAACTTTTCTATAAAAAAACTTTCCAAAGAAGATTTTCTAAGAAAACTTTTCTGTAAGAAAACTTTCTAAAGAAAACTTACTAGAGAAAACTTTTCTATAATGAAACTTTCTAAAGAAACTTTTTATAAGAAAACTTTCTAATCTATCTTTTCTATAATAAAACTTTTTAAACTATCTTTTCTATAAGAAAACTTTCTGAAAATTGTCCTATACGTAATCATTCTAAAAAAAAAGCTTTTTTCAGAGGAAAATTTTCTAAAGAAACTTCTTTAGAAAAAAACTTTGTAAAGAAACCTTTCTATTAGAAAACTTTCTAAAGAAACTTTGCTATAAAGAAATTTCTAAACATGAAAACATTCTGATAAAAACTTTTCCAGAAAAAAGTTTTCTAGAGAAACATTCTAAAAAACTTTTCTAGAATAAAACTTTTCTATAACAAAACTTTTAAGGAAACTTTTCTTTAAGAAAACTTTCTTAAGAAACTTTATAGAAGAAAACTATCTAAATAAACTTTTCCATTCGAAAACTTTCTAAAGAAACTTTTGTAGAAAAAACTTTTTAAAAGAAAATTTTCTATAAGAAAACTTTCTAAAGAAACTTCTCTAGAAGAAAACTTTCTAAATAAACTTTTATAGAATAAAACTTTTCTATAACAAAACTTCCTAAAGAAACTTTTCTAGAGGAAAACTTTCTAAAGAAACTTTATCTAGAAGAAAACTTTCTAAAGACACTTTTATAGTAGAAAACTTTCTAAAGACACTTTTATAGCAGAAAACGTTGTAAAGAAACTTTTCTAGAAGAAAACTTTCTAAAGAAGCTTTTTCTAGAAGAAAACTTTCTAAAGACACTTTTATAGTAGAAAACTTTCTAAGGAAACTTTTCTAGAAGAAAACTTCTCAAGAAACTTTTATAGAAGAAAACTTTCTAAAGAAACTTTTCTAGAAGACAACCTTCTAAAGAAGAAAACTCTCTAAAGAAACTTTTCTAGAAGGAAACTTTCTAAAGAAACTTTTCTAAAAGAAAACTTTTTAAAGGAACTTTTCTAGAAAAAACTTTTTAAAGAAACGTTTCTAGATGAAAATTTTCAAAAGAAACTTCTCCATAAGAACATTTTCTGGATAAACTTTTGTAAAATAAAACTTTTTAAAAGAAACTTTTTGAAGAAAACTTTATAAAGAAGCTTTTTAAGAAGAAAACTTTCTGTAGAATACTTTGCTATAAGAAACTTTATAAAGAAAACGTTTCTATAAAAAACTCGATAAAGAAACTTTTATAGAAGAAAGCTTTCTAATAAATATTTTCTATAAGAAACTTTCTCAAGAAACTTTTATAGAAGAAAACTTTGAAAAGAAGTTATTCTATAAGAAAACTTTCTGAAGAAGCTTTCTAAAGAAATTTTGTATAATAAAGCTTTGTTAAGAAAGTTGTCTATAAGAAAACATTCTAAAGAAACTTTTCTATAAGAAACCTTTCTAAAGAAAACTTTCAAAAGAAACTATATAAAGAAACTTTTCTATAAGAAATCTTTCTAAAGAAACATTTCTGTAAGAAAGCTTTCTTAAGAAACTTTTTTTGAAGGAAACTTTTTAAAGAAACATTTCTCCTGTCCTTTACAGAACGGTCTGCCATCTTCCGAAAATCCCTATATATTCAATGGTGACTTGTGGATCGTGGCAAAAAGGGCTTGGAAGTATTTCTCTTACTGCTAGCCTGTTCTTAGCCTTTCCCAATGGAGTTTTCCTTAATCGTGGCAATCATGAGGATTCAGTAATGAATGCACGTTACGGTTTCATAAGAGAAGTTCAACAGAAATACAAGGTAAATAAAGGAAAAGCGTAACTGAAAAGCTGTAATTAAAATATATTTAAAATGTTTTTTCTTTTTTCATCTACTCCACCCTTTTTTGTTAAATTGGCGCATTGGTAATGCTGTTGTCACTGATAATAATGATATGTTTTGCTGCTGCTGATGTTGATGATACTGATGACAACAGCGCAATTCAACGAAATTACTTAAACTCATTGATGAGGTGTATCGTTGGCTGCCATTGGGCACTGTTATTAATAGTCGTGTATTGGTGGTGCACGGTGGTATATCCGATACAACCAATTTGGATTTAATTAAAAGTCTTGATCGTGGCAAGGTAAGTGTTACAAGAAAAAAACATTAAAGTAAATAAATTTTATTTACTTTAATGAGGAGAGTGGAATTAAAAAATGTAAAATTTCCTTTTTTATATTTGTATTGGTATTCAGTTGTAAATATTGTAACTTTTTAAACTTTATTTTTATTAAAAAAGGTAGATAAGTGCGTAGTATAGTACGGTTGAGTAAATAAGGTGTGTTTTTCAGTGTTATGGTTGAATAGTTCTTTATGTCTGTCTTACAAAGAGTTACAATCATTTTCATTATATTTTCTTTTTCCTTTTTTTTTTGGGGTTTCGTCCTGTTTTAAATCTATAGATAGCTTGTTTACTACTTTAATAGGGTTCATTGACGCCATTTATTATTAAACTCAGACTTTTTTCTTTTGGTTTTTTATATTTAACAGATATTTATCACATTTCTTTTGTGTGTACAGTACAATTTTCTTTTGTCTTCTTATTGCTTCAAATTAATAAGAATTTGAAAGAAAAATTGGTAAAAACTGAGGGATAATTAAGTACTTTTTAAAGTACTATTTTTCCTTAAAACTACACAACATTTTTAGTACTTTACCTTAAGTAAACAATGTAAATATTAATAAAAAACCAAATTTATTAAAAAAAATCATAAAATTCCCTTTAATCTCAAAGTTATGCAATTGTTTACCTTATGTAAACAATGTAAATAAAGTCGGAAATGTTTCTAAAAACCAAATTTCAACATTCTAATGAAGTTTTATTGAAAAAATGCTTAATTTTATAATTCTTGACAAAATGTAAACAATGTAAAGAATTGTGTAAACAATGTAATTAATGAGTAATTCTCAAAAAAAGGTTAACATTTCAACAATTATTATTGACAAAAACCTAAAAAACTATAAATTCCTTTAAAATTTAAAGATTTTACATTGTTTACCTCATGTAAGTAAGTGTAAATATTAGCAAAAATGTGTAAAACACTTTTATTTTACACTTTATTTGAATTTTTATGGTAAAATAGTAAATTTTGCAATTCTTGACAAAATGTAAACAATGTAAATAATTGTGTAAACATTTCATAAATGAGTAATTGACACAAAAGGTGTAAAATGTAGACAATTATTATTGAAAAAAAAAACTGAAAAACTATAAATTTCCTTTAAAATTTAACAATTTTACAATTGTTTACCTCATGTAAACTAAGTGTAAATAATAGCAAAAATATGTAAAATACCAAAGTTTTACAATTTATATGTCATTTTATGGAAAATAATGAATTTTACAATTCTTGACAATATGTAAATAATGTAAAGAATTGTGTATACAATGACATAAATGAGTAATTGACAAAAAAGGTGAAACATTTAGACAATTATTATTGAAAAAAGATGAAAAACTATAAATTTCCTTTAAAATTTAACAATTTCACATTGTTTACCTCATGTAAAGTAAGTGTAAATAATAGCAAAACTGCGTAAAATACTAATATTTTACAATTTAGATGAAATTTTATGGAAAAATAATGAATTTTACAATTCTTGGCAAAATGTAAACAATGTAAAGAATTGTGTAAACAATGTCATAAAAAAGTATTGAAAAAAAATGTGTCAAATTTAGACAATTATTATTGAAGAAAACTGAAAAAGTATAAAATTCCTTTAAAATTTAAAGATTTTACATTGTTTACCTCATGTAAAGTAAGTGTAAATAATAGCAAAAATGTGTAAAATACCAAAATTTTACAATTTAGATGAAATTTAATGGAAAAATAATGAATTTTACAATTCTTGACAAAACGTAAACAATGTAAAGAATTGTGTAAACAATGTCATAAATGAGTAATTGACAAAAAAGGTGAAAAATTTAGACAATTGTTATTGAAGGAAACTGAAGAACTATAAATTTCCTTTAAAATTCATAGATTTTACATTGTTTACCTCATGTAAAGTATGTAAATAATAGAAAAAATCCATTAAATAGTAATATTTTACAATATAATTAAAATTTTTTACAAAAATATTAATTTTTTCAATTCTTGACAAAATGTAAACAATGTATGAATTGTGTAAACAATGTCATAAATAAGTAATTGACACAAAAGTTGTAAAATGTAGACAATTATTATTGAAGAAAGCAGAAGAACTATAAATTTCTTTCAAAAATGTTACATTGTTTACTTCATGTAAAATATGTAAATATAGCAAGAAAGCGTTAAATACTAATATTTTACAATTTACATACAATTTTATACAAAAATATTCATATTTACAATTCTTGACAAAATGTAAACAATTGTGTAAATAATGTAAAACCATCCTCTAGCTTATGTAAACAATGTAGATATTACTATACAATGCTTTTTTGCATAAAAAATTTGTAAAATTTTATAAAATTCAAAGTTTCTGGTAACTTTTCTTTCAAATTATTTACCAACCAATGGTGCTACACTCCTTTGGCTTTCATTAATGTCTTTTGTCTCAAATATAGATATTTTAAATTCATTTTTTTTCTTTCTTTCTATCTTTATTTGTATAACAATGTTGTAGTTTTACTCTTTATTTAATACTTGTATAAATATACATATTTAATCATTGTTTTCAACCCTGTCCATGTCCATCAGTTAGACCATGCATCCCTGCTACAGTCCGTCCTTCCATCTGTCCGTCTTTCCGTCTGTCTGTCTGTCAGTCTTTATATTTCTGGCTTTTCTTTTCAATATTCATTTGCAGTTTTGCTAAATTTGTTACAATTCATTGGTTTGTAAAATCGTTAGTATATTTTTCTTCTTCTTGCTTTTATTGTCAATCAATAAATTGTTAGAATAAAGACAAACAAAAAACAATCTTTTGTTTGTTTAATTAATTAAGTTCCATTAAATTATTTAACTTTTAGCATAAATAATTTTTTTGGATTCTTACTACTTTGCAACATAACCATAATATTTTAAACCACAAATCAATCATTTATTAAAGGCTTTAATTGAAAATAAATAATTTTTTTATAAAATCTATTGATTATTAATTACTGAAAGTGTTTGTTTATTATTTTTAGCAAATGTAAATATTTATAGAAAAAAAAGAATATGAATTATTAATGTAAATGTCAATAACAGCTAGAAAGGTTTTATTCCAGAGGGTTGTTAACTTAAAATTAACACAAGCAAAAGTAACTTCAAAAAACCCACTGAAAAACATGAACAAACATGATTGTCTGTTAACATAAATTACCATGAAATGTACTTGTATAGAAAGAATAATCTATAATATATTTTCAGTTTATTTGCTTTATAATATTTTTACATTTCTTATTCCTTACCTGTTTTCTTTAAATGTTTACTTTGCTGTTACATTGTCAATTAAAGTAAAATATGAAAATTTTCTTATTATTTAACAAAAAGTAATAAAGTAAAAAGTATTGAAGGTCTTTGTTTTATGGAAAATAATTTGAAATGTTTTGAATTTTTAAAATGTTTGAATTTTTAAAGAAATTTTTTGATTTCTAACTATATTTCATATAGGACAAGGCTACAGACTAGACTATAGACTAGATTGTAGACTAGACTATAGACAAGACTATAGACTAGACTATAGACTAGACTATAGACTAGACTATAGACTAGACTATAGACTAGACTATAGACTAGACTATAGACTAGACTATAGACTAGACTATAGACTAGACTATAGACTAGACTATAGACTAGACTATAGACTAGACTATAGACTAGACTATAGACTAGACTATAGACTAGACTATAGACTAGACTATAGACTAGACTATAGACTAGACTATAGACTAGACTATAGACTAGACTATAGACTAGACTTGACTAGACTAGACTAGACTAGACTAGACTAGACTAGACTGGACTGGACTAGACTAGACTAGACTATACTATAGACTAGACTAGACTGGACCAGACTAGACTATACTTTAGACTAGACTATAGAATAGACTATAAACTAGACTATAGACTAGACTAGACTATAGACTAGACTATAGACTAGACTATAGACTAGACTATAGACTAGACTATAGACTAGACTATAGACTAGACTATAGACTAGACTATAAACTAGACTATAGACTAGACTATAGACTAGACTATAGACTAGACTATAGACTAGACTATTTACTAGACTATAGACTAGGCTGTAGTTAGTTAGTTTAGTTAGTAAGTTAGTTAGTTTGTTAGTTAGTTAGTTAGTTTAGTTAGTTAGTTAGTTAGTTAGTTTTAGTTAGTTAGTTAGTTAGTTAGTAGTTAGTTAGTTAGTTAGTTAGTTAGTTAGTTAGTTAGTTAGTTAGTTAGTTAGTTAGTTAGTTAGTTAGTTAGTAGTTAGGTTAGTTAGTTAGTTAGTTAGTTAGTTAGTTAGTTAGTTAGTAGTTAGTTAGTTCGTTTAGTTAGTTAGTTAGTTAGTTAGTTAGTTAGTTAGTTAGTTAGTTAGTTCGTTAGTTAGTTTTTAGTTAGTTAGTAGTTAGTTAGTTAGTTAGTTAGTTAGTTAGTTAGTTAGTTTAGTTAGTTAGTTAGTTAGTTAGTTAGTTAGTTAGTTAGTTAGTTAGTTAGTTAGTTAGTTTAGTTAGTTAGTTAGTTAGTTTTAGTTCGTTCGTTAGTTCGTTAGTTCGTTCGTTAGTTGTAGTTAGTTCGTTCGTTCGTTCGTTCGTTGTTAGTTTTTCGTTAGTTTTCGTTAGTTCGTTCGTTCGTTTCGTTCGTTTCGTTCGTTTCGTTCGTTCGTTAGTTGTTCGCGTTCGTTCGTTCGTTCGTTCTTCGTTCGTTCGTTCGTGTTTCGTTCGTTCGTTCGTTCGTTCGTTCTTTCGTTCTTTGTTCGTTCGTTCGTTCGTTCGTTCGTTCGTTCGTTTCGTTCGTTCGTTCGTTCGTTCGTTCGTTCGTTCGTTCGTTTCGTTTTCGTTCGTTCGTTCGTTCGTTCGTTCGTTCGTTAGTTCGTTCGTTCGTTCGTTCGTTCGTTCGTTCGTTCGTTCGTTCGTTCGTTTTTTTTTCGTTTTTCGTTCGTTCGTTCGTTCGTTCGTTCGTTCGTTTTCGTTCGTTCGTTCGTTCGTTCGTTCGTTCGTTCGTTCGTTTCGTTCGTTTTCGTTCGTTCGTTCGTTCGTTCGTTCGTTCGTTCGTTCGTTCGTTTCGTTCGTTCGTTCGTTCGTTCGTTCGTTCGTTCGTTCGTTCGTTCGTTCGTTCGTTTGTTCGTTCGTTCGTTCGTTCGTTCGTTCGTTCGTTCGTTCGTTCGTTGTTCGTTCTTCGTTCGTGTTCGTTCGTTCGTTCGTTTTCGTTCGTTCGTTCGTTCGTTCGTTCGTTCGTTCGTTCGTTCGTTCGTTCTTTCGTTCGTTCGTTCGTTCGTTCGTTCGTTCGTTCGTTCGTTCGTTCGTTCGTTCGTTGTTCGTTCGTTCTTCGTTCGTTCGTTCGTTCGTTCGTTCGTTCGTTCGCGTTTTCGTTCTTCGTTCGTTTTCGTTCGTTTCGTTCGTTCGTTCGTTCGTTCGTTCGTTCGTTCGTTCGTTCGTTCGTTCGTTCGTTCGTTCGTTCGTTCGTTCGTTCGTTCGTTTCGTTCGTTCGTTCGTTCGTTCGTTCGTTCGTTCGTTTCGTTCGTTCGTTCGTTCGTTCGTTCGTTCGTTCGTTCGTTCGTTCGTTCGTTCGTTCGTTCGTTCGTTCGTTCGTTCGTTCTTTTCGTTCGTTCGTTCGTTCGTTCGTTCGTTCTTTCGTTCGTTCGTTCGTTCGTTCGTTCGTTCGTTCGTTCGTTCGTTCGTTCTTTCGTTCGTTCGTTTCGTTCGTTCGTTAGTTCGTTCGTTCGTTCGTTCGTTCGTTCGTTCGTTCGTTCGTTCGTTCGTTCGTTCGTTCGTTCGTTCGTTTCGTTCGTTCGTTCGTTGCGTTCAGGTCGTTCGTTAGTTCGTTAGTTAGTTCTTAGTTAGTTAGTTTAGTTAGTTAGTTAGTTTTAGTTCGTTCGTTAGTTGTTAGTTCTGTTTAGTTAGTTAGTAGAAAACCTTCAGGAAACCTTCACGAGAGAAGGGTCACTATAAGTTTGCCATTCAGTTTGTAATTTGCATAGTATAATTGCTCAATCTCTAGAGTATTCTGGATCCTTACAGATAGCTGTGTCGATTGAGCCATGTCCGTCTGTCTGTCGCGGTTGTCTGTCCTGTTCATATGTGTGTCCTGTGAAATCCATTCGGAAGACTTAATATATCTTCAGGATCCAAAATCTTCAAAATCTGAAAAATTTTATCAAAAAAGTTGTGTTGTTTTCTTCTTGTTGTTGCTTAATTACTGCTACTATGCTGAAGAGTATATAAGACTCGGCAAAGGCGAATATTTACATCTAACTTATATAACAAAATTAACCTTTTTTCGAAACTTAATTTGCCGTTTTAATTACAAACTCTCTATAGTTTTTTTGCAAGTGTCTTTATTTTAGTTTCAATTTAGTTTCCATTTCTTTCCCCTTGAAAAAGAGCAGCAGCAGCATATTTGTAATACAACTCAATAAGTATCTCCTCACTTAAAAAAACATCCGTTCATACTTCACAAATATCATTCCAAATGTGTATTTAAGTAAGTGTTTGTTTACAAAGAGTTAAATTTAGTTAACTGTAGTTTAAATAAGCGCTTGTCATTATTGAGTGTATAATACTAACTGCTTGTTTATTTTCTTCTCTCTGCTCAAAAAAAAAAAAACAAGTCCTGTAAACATTCTCCTTCTTTAACAAGCATTGCTGTAGCCCCTTCCTTTTTATGATGACTTGTAGTCTTGCACTTCATTACACACACTAAATTAAAGCTAATAAACTATATAATGATAGTGTTTATGTTCATGTTTGGAAAACCAGTAAGAGGAGGGGGAGGGGGGGTAGGAAAATACACTATTTTCACCTTATAACTTTTAGCAACTATTTTCAGTAACATTATTCATTATTCTTTATAAAAAAAATGGGGGAGTTAACTGTTTTCCTTCTTGCTTTCTCCCACCTGTGTTAGTAGTAGTTGTTTGTTAGTTCCTCTTAAATACTCTTCCAATTACCCTTAAGCAGACATTTAACCAAATATAACTCTATATAATACTAATAAAAACATTTCTATACTTTTTTCTCTACTTCCTTTATGTTTGCCTTTTTCGGGATCCTGTTCATTTCCTAGTATGTTTCAATTTTACGACCACCAATTGAACAAACTGGCGGAGAGGGTATTGACAAGGTCGAATGGAAACAGGTAAGTGTGTTGAAATAAAATAAAATCTACTATATATTTCAATTAAGTAAAAAAAATATTAAAAGTTAAAGCGAAAAATTTAAAACTAAAATAATTTTTTTAAAAAACTCTCCCCTACAAATTGAATTTCCTTAAAAATATTTGCAATTAAATGTGATTTTTAATTATTTTTATAATAACCTTGCATAAAACTTAACAAGCTTTTAAGAAATAAGCTTCTTAATGACTCTTTTACTTAAAAGATAATAATAAAAGCAAAATTAAGCAGCTAAAGCAGTGAACAGCAGACAAATATAACACAGACCGAGTTAATTTAGTTGCACGCACACGATTCAGTAACCATATACGAAATTTACAACTGCTAGCGAAAAAAAGACAATAAACTATGTAAAATTTTTGCAAAAGTCTCACTCTTTGTGCCCACCACTGTGCTGGCTAAACTTTATGAACTTAAATATATCATAGAAATTAAAAGGTCGTATATGTATGTATATGTTTTCCTTCATAGCTTAATAATTTCCCTAGTCTATTATATATTAAATTAGATTTGTGTTCTGCTCATTCATTTTAACAAGTTTGTGTTTGGATGCGCAAAGATACAATAATTTTAGGGTAGCAAATATTGTTAAGAGGGAACCATTTTAATAACAGTTAAAAGCAGAAATTTATTAAGTAATACAAATTATAAAAAATATAAAAAATTAAAAGCAAAAGCAATTATAATAAAATATGATTTCAAACTACAGTCCAGTCTATAAGACTAAGGCTATAGTCTTAGTAGATAGTCTAGTATATAGTCTATAGTCTAGTCTATAGTCTAGTCTATAGTCTAGTCTATAGTCTAGTCTATAGTCTAGTCTATAGTCTAGTCTATAGTCTAGTCTATAGTCTAGTCTATAGTCTAGTCTATAGTCTCTAGTCTCTAGTCTATAGTCTATTTTATAGTCTAGTCTATAGTCTATTTTATAGTCTAGTTTTAGTCTAGTAGTCTAGTCTATAGTCTAGTCTATAGTCTAGTCTATAGTCTAGTCTATAGTCTAGTCTATAGTCTAGTCTATAGTCTAGTCTATAGTCTAGTCTATAGTCTAGTCTATAGTCTAGTCTATAGTCTAGTCTATAGTCTAGTCTATAGTCTAGTCTATAGTCTAGTCTATAGTCTAGTCTATAGTCTAGTCTATAGTCTAGTCTATAGTCTAGTCTATAGTCTAGTCTATAGTCTAGTCTATAGTCTAGTCTATAGTCTAGTCTATAGTCTAGTTTATAGTCTAGTCTATAGTCTAGTCTATAGTCTAGTCTATAGTCTAGTCTATAGTCTAGTCTATAGTCTAGTCTATAGTCTAGTCTATAGTCTAGTCTATAGTCTAGTCTATAGTCTAGTCTATAGTCTAGTCTATAGTCTAGTCTATAGTCTAGTCTATAGTCTAGTCTATAGTCTAGTCTATAGTCTAGTCTATAGTCTAGTTTATAGTCTAGTCTATAGTCTAGTCTATAGTCTAGTCTATAGTCTAGTCTATAGTCTAGTCTATAGTCTAGTCTATAGTCTAGTCTATAGTCTAGTCTATAGTCTAGTCTATAGTCTAGTCTGTAGTCTAGTCTATAGTCATAGACTAGACTAGTCTGTAGTCATAGACTAGACTAGTCTGTAGTCTAGTCTATAGTCTAGTCTATAGTCTAGTCTATAGTCTAATCTATAGTCTATTTTATAGTCTAGTCTATAGTCTATTTTATAGTCTAGTTTATAGTCTAGTCTATAGTCTAGTCTATAGTCTAGTCTATAGTCTAGTCTATAGTCTAGTCTATAGTCTAGTCTATAGTCTAGTCTATAGTCTAGTCTATAGTCTAGTCTATAGTCTAGTCTATATTCTAGTCTATAGTCTAGTCTATAGTCTAGTCTATAGTCTAGTCTATAGTCTAGTCTATAGTCTAGTCTATAGTCTAGTTTATAGTCTAGTCTATAGTCTAGTCTATAGTCTAGTCTATAGTCTAGTCTATAGTCTAGTCTATAGTCTAGTCTATAGTCTAGTCTATAGTCTAGTCTATAGTCTAGTCTATAGACTAGTCTGTAGTCTAGTCTATAGTCTAGTCTAGTCTAGTCTATAGTCTAGTCTATAGTCTAGTCTATAGTCTAGTCTATAGTCTAGTCTATAGTCTAGTCTATAGTCTAGTCTATAGTCTAGTCTATAGTCTAGTCTATAGTCTAGTCTATAGTCTAGTCTATAGTCTAGTCTATAGTCTAGTCTATAGTCTAGTCTATAGTCTAGTCTATAGTCTAGTCTATAGTCTAGTCTATAGTCTAGTCTATAGTCTAGTCTATAGTCTAGTCTATAGTCTAGTCTATAGTCTAGTCTATAGTCTAGTCTATAGTCTAGTCTATAGTCTAGTCTATAGTCTAGTCTATAGTCTAGTCTATAGTCTAGTCTATAGTCTAGTCTATAGTCTAGTCTATAGTCTAGTCTATAGTCTAGTCTATAGTCTAGTCTATAGTCTAGTCTATAGTCTAGTCTATAGTCTAGTCTATAGTCTAGTCTATAGTCTAGTCTATAGTCTAGTCTATAGTCTAGTCTATAGTCTAGTCTATAGTCTAGTCTATAGTCTAGTCTATAGTCTAGTCTCTAGTCTAGCCTATAGTCTAGTCTATAGTCTAGTCTAGTCTATAGTCTAGTCTATAGTCTAGTCTTTAGTCTAGTCTCTAGTCTAGTCTATAGTCTAGTCTATAGTCTAGTCTCTAGTCTAGTCTCTAGTCTAGTCTATGGTCTAGTCTATAGTCTAGTCTATAGTCTAGTCTATAGTCTAGTCTATAGTCTATTCTATAGTCTATTCTATAGTCTAGTCTATGGTCTAGTCTATAGTCTAGTCTATAGTCTAGTCTATAGTCTAGTCTATAGTCTAGTCTATAGTCTAGTCTATAGTCTAGTCTATAGTCTAGTCTATAGTCTAGTCTATAGTCTAGTCTATAGTCTAGTCTATAGTCTAGTCTATAGTCTAGTCTATAGTCTAGTCTATAGTCTAGTCTATAGTCTAGTCTATAGTCTAGTTTATAGTCTAGTCTATAGTCTAGTTTATAGTCTAGTCTATACTCTAGTCTATAGTCTGGTCTATAGTCTATTCTATAGTCTATTCTATAGTCTAGTCTATGGTCTAGTCTATAGTCTAGTCTTTAGTCTAGTCTCTAGTCTAGTCTATAGTCTAGTCTATAGTCTAGTCTCTAGTCTAGTCTCTAGTCTATGGTCTAGTCTATAGTCTAGTCTATAGTCTAGTCTATAGTCTAGTCTATAGTCTATTCTATAGTCTATTCTATAGTCTAGTCTATGGTCTAGTCTATAGTCTAGTCTATAGTCTAGTCTATAGTCTAGTCTATAGTCTAGTCTATAGTCTAGTCTATAGTCTAGTCTATAGTCTAGTCTATAGTCTAGTCTATAGTCTAGTCTATAGTCTAGTCTATAGTCTATTCTATAGTCTATTCTATAGTCTAGTCTATGGTCTAGTCTATAGTCTAGTCTATAGTCTATTCTATAGTCTATTCTATAGTCTATTCTATAGTCTAGTCTATGGTCTAGTCTATAGTCTAGTCTATAGTCTAGTCTATAGTCTAGTCTATAGTCTAGTCTATAGTCTAGTCTATAGTCTAGTCTATAGTCTAGTCTATAGTCTAGTCTATAGTCTAGTCTATAGTCTAGTCTATAGTCTAGTCTATAGTCTAGTCTCTAGTCTAGTCTATGGTCTAGTCTATAGTCTAGTCTATAGTCTAGTCTATAGTCTAGTCTATAGTCTATTCTATAGTCTATTCTATAGTCTAGTCTATGGTCTAGTCTATAGTCTAGTCTTTAGTCTAGTCTCTAGTCTAGTCTATAGTCTAGTCTATAGTCTAGTCTCTAGTCTAGTCTCTAGTCTAGTCTATGGTCTAGTCTATAGTCTAGTCTATAGTCTAGTCTATAGTCTAGTCTATAGTCTATTCTATAGTCTATTCTATAGTCTAGTCTATGGTCTAGTCTATAGTCTAGTCTATAGTCTAGTCTATAGTCTAGTCTATAGTCTAGTCTATAGTCTAGTCTATAGTCTAGTCTATAGTCTAGTCTATAGTCTAGTCTATAGTCTAGTCTATAGTCTAGTCTATAGTCTAGTCTATAGTCTAGTCTATAGTCTAGTCTATAGTCTAGTCTATAGTCTAGTCTATAGTCTGGTCTATAGTCTAGTCTATAGTCTGGTCTATAGTCTAGTCTATAGTCTAGTCTATAATCTAGTCTATATTCTGGTCTGTAGTCTAGTCTATAGTCTAATCTATTTTTTTTAATTTTTCCTTCCAGACATGTTTAAATAAATTTAGATTTTATGCTAAAGAAAAGCTTAAAATAAAATTTAAATTTTATTTTTTCCTGACAAACTAAATTCCTAAACAAATACAGTCCAAAAATTTTACTCACATGTGTAAATAATTTTTTAGTCAGTCCTTCTGCATGTGTAAATTTTTTGCTTGACTTCATACAGAATATCGGTCATCGTTCGTAGAAGCAATTTTATGTCCTTCAGCACTGTTTTGTTGATATAAAGCTTTTTGTTTTAACTTTCCTCCCACACTTTTCGAAAATAAGTTATTTCTTTACACTCAGCAGTTATTTGTGGAGGTTTAATTTTAAAACAAAATATTTTTGAAATAAAAAAATTTTATAAGATAAAAAGAAATTTTGTGGGAAGGAATTTAAGGTTTAGTAAATACAATAAGTTTTAAATATCTTGCAGTCATCTTATTGTCAATTTTATTCTATTATTAAGACATCTATTTAAACAAAATCAATTAAACTTTCTCCTCCTTTTTTCGTACTCATCCTGGCAAGAAACCAACAAACGGAAATCACAAAATTTCTCAAATAAATGTTAAAACATCTTAATGATTTTTCCCAGCCAATGTAGGAGTTAACAAAATAACAGTTTGACTAACTACAGAAACGATTGACTGACTATAATTTACTATGAAAAGACTAGAAGGGAGGGTGGTAGTTGGC